ATCAATAACAAAATATCAGAAATAGAGAGCACTCTGAAAGGGCAGAGGAATAGAATAGATGAGATGGAAGGCAAAACCAGTGAGCTGGAAGACAAATCTCTGAAGACCACTAAGATAGAAGAACAAACACAAAAAAGGATACAAAATTCTGAAGATGGTCTAAGATTCATGTTGGACAACATGAAGAGGAATAACTTAAGAATTATCAGCATTCCAGAACAAGAAGAATCCCACAAGTTCACAAAGGAAATAGTTGAAGAGCTGCTGGAAGAAAATTTCTCTAACATCCTGAAAAGTGAAAAGATAAAACATTCAAGAAGCTCAAGGAACCCCAGGAAGGATAGATCCCAAAAGAAAATCACCAAGGCATATCATAGTCAAGCTCTCCAAAAATTAAAGATGAGACACTTCTGAAAGCAGCCAGGGAAAACAGAAGTGTTGCATACAAAGGCAAACATTAATTGTGGTAAGTATATATGTAACAAAACATTTGTCATTTCAATAGTCTTAAAAAAAGAAAAGAAAACTTCCCAGTGAATTGATTGCAGGTTTACAGAGCAGATCAGTTTTACTTTTAGCAAGTCCTATACTTTGTTTCATTACAATGATTGCAATCCCCTCCATGTACCCCATCAATTAACAGTGTTAACTTGTATTCACATTAACTCTTGCATTCCTCCCTGTGTCGCCTTCATGTACAATTCAATGGCATTCAGTATGTTCATGTTGTTAGCACTCACACTCTCGGTGCACGAATTTCCCTTTACTCTTAACAAAAGCTCAGTGTCCACTAAGCAATGAGTTTCCTTTGCCCCGTGCTCCAGCCTGCCCCTGGGAACCACTAACAAACTGTGGTCTCTGAGTACTTTTCCTATTTTAGGCACTTGGTATAAGTGGCTATTTGTTCTTTGTGTTTCAGGTGTTTGTGGCCAGTCCTCACAAAACACAGCCTATTGTGGAGATCCTACTAAAAAATCAACCGAAACTCATTGAGTTTCTGAGCACCTTCCAGAAA